GTCTACTGGGGAAGGCGGCACGCAACTGGTACAGTCTCTGAAAACTGCCACAACCGCCACAACGGACGGCACCGCCTGGAGGCAGGCCTTGCGACTGTATGGAATAACGAAGGGAGTCGAGGCCGGGCAAAGCACGCGTGCTTGCAGCCCTGAGCCCTTGCAGAGCATGCAGCGGAAGGCAGGGCGCAGGCGCCCACACGCTCTAAAAAGTGTGTTGCCCGGTGCGAGGCGCCAGCGTGCACAGCCCCGCATCTCGGCAGGGCGTGACGGGCAAACACAACTGCTGTCAACAAACCGCAACTGTGACGCCGCTTCAACCCTGCCTGAGTCTGCGCATTTGATGGACGGTGAGGGCAGACAGGGCGAAAGACGCTGGTCTACACTACCTCTGACTATCACTAGCAGTGGCCATGGAGAAGCTCTAGCCGACGGCAGGCGCTGCTGCGCCGCGGCTATCCCGTCGCTCATGTAGGCGCGGCGCGAGCCAGAGGCGTCTGCAGCCACTGGCTCGGCTGTGCAGACGGCCGCGGGCAGCTTTGAACGCGCAGCTGACGTGGCGTGGGCCGAGGTGTCATGGTGGCTACAGTTCTCATATCTCTACCTGGGTTTGGGGGAGATTGAGGCGTGTTGCAGTGTAAGCGGCCCACCGTGGTAGCCGCTCCAACCATGTGTGAGCGTTGAAGGCAGTGGTGGCAGCCAGGGCCGCGGCATTGTGGCAATCCGCCTGATGTGCTGACGCAACAACGCATGCGTGGACGCGGCACGGGGCCGCCCAAAGGCATCATCCTGCGGCATGCACTCGCACCTCAGCAGCGGCGGGCGCCCCGCTGCGGCCAGAAGCTGAAGTTCGAGTCGGCGTCGGCCGCCCGGCCCGAGTTGGCCTGGGACGAGGCGAACGGCGGGCCGGGGGCCGAGGCGCTAGGCAGCCAGTATGCACAGGCAGCCTGGCGGGCGCCGTACGGATCACCCAGAAGGGAGCGATGGCGCAAGGCAGCAGCGTTGGCCCCGGTCTGGCAGGCATCACAGGGCTAGGCGCACCTTCACCTCCTCCAGCTCGGCCCGCGCCTGGTCGCGCACACGCATGTAGGTTGCCCGCTCCGCCTGTGGGCAGCAGCAGGGCGCCGAGCACAGGGAAGGTTGGCTGAGCGGCGAGAGGGGCCGAAACAGGCGTGCGGCAACAAAGAGAGCAGAGAACCGTTACAAGCCTTGCAGCAGGTGCTGAAGACGTGCAGCTGTCCTGGATGTATACATGTGTTCCCGGTTGTTTGTTGCAACACCGCAGCGCACCTGGCTCTGGTCCAGGCAGGCCAGCAGCCAAATGTTGTGTTCGGCGGCGGCACTCTGGTGCGCCAGCGCGCAGGCCGCGGCGTCCCGCGTGCGCACCACCTCCGCCTGCGCGCGTACAAGGTGGGACGGTGCCATTGCCTTATGAAAACAGGCTGCTTCGCTCATTTTGCGTTCGCAGCTGGAGCACAGGCACCAGCACGGCTGGTGGGACCATGCTATTTGAAAGCACGCACGCCAGCACAGGCCCTGGCCAGCTGCATCCCCGCCGCAACCCATCAACGCAGGCCCCGCGTCGGTGTGGCATGCACGCACGTGGCGGGCAGGCACCCACTTTTCCCTTGCAACATGTGCCCTCTGAAACAAGTCCCGTCCCAACCACCCCTTGGCCTCGGGCATTTGCAGGGGCGGGAGGCAACAAGGCGCAAGGGCGCCAGCGTTCGCAAGGCACGGGCAAACGCATCTTGCCGGGGCGGGCGCGGCCCGCGGCCCTGAGGCGCTGCATGCTCACCAGCAGGCAGGCATGCAGGTCCAGCGCGATGCTGGACACCCCTTCGGCCGTGGCGCGCGCCTTCTCCGCCTCCTCCAGCTGTGGCGGAGGGTTGAGGTGGGGTGTTGAGGTTGGCCGGAAAGGGCAGGTCAGCGGCCCTCCGGCCCAGATGGAAGGTGTTGGTGCAAATGGGATACCCTGACCAGCGCACCGTTCAACATGCCGGTGCAGAGCGCTGTTTCTCACCTTTGCCTCCAGGCCGTTGCGGGCGGCCTGCAATAGAGAGATGGGATGGATGGATGGGTGAGCTGGCGGTCACCATGGTGTGCATCTAAGAGGGGCCTCGTCACCCCAACCCCCGCAGGGCGCAGACTGTCCCGTGGCTGGGTGCCAGGCTTGTGAGTGGATTGGGCTAACGTCACTAAGGGGCTCAATATATGCATGTGCAGCGGGCTCCATATATGCATGTGCAGCGGGCAGCCAACCCACTGCCGTTCGAACCCAAGGCTTGGCCACTTTATCGACCCCTCTGCACGTCCGCACCTTCTCAGAGGCCAGCTCGCGCCTGAGCGCCCCCAGCCGGTCAGAGGTGTCACGCATAACCCGCGCCAGGGCCTCCTATGGGGGCAGGCGCGTGGCAAGGCCAGAGGCGCATCAGCCAGATGAGCCTGGACGTGGCGCGCTGAACGAATAAGGTGCAGCCGCAAGCGAGGGTGGTCGCACGGCGCCAACCCATGGGAGTCAGGGCAGGGGCAGCGTGAGGAGGAAGCAATGTGCGGGCGGTGCGCCCCGCAGACCGAAGCAACGTTCAAAACTGCAATCACCTGCGCATTGACGGTGTCCTCCCTGGCGCGCGCGGCCCTGCCGTCCGCAGCCTCCTTGGCGCGCTCGAGCCTCTGCATCCAACGCGTGTGTGAAAGCCGGGCAGAGCCGAAGCAGCGCGTTGCTGACTTGCAGGAACCAAGGTACCAAGGCGAGTGGAAGCTGCCGTTGCTTGCAGTGTGCGGCTCTTGAGATTTGCATCATTGATGCTCCAGGGCAGGAGGGGCTCTAAACGAGCGCCCACAGAATCAGGTGAGCGGCAGTGGGACACGCGTTGTTGGGCGAGCAGCAGAGCCTGACTTGCCTGCACGGTGCCGTGCAGCTGCGCCACCTCGCCGCGGGCCGCGTCCCGCTGCTGCATCGCCGCCTCGCAGCTCTCCTGGCGATCAGTCAGGGAGCGGCCGCAGCAGAAGGTGGGAACGTAAGAAAGCGCGTGTGCAGATCAGCCAACACAGCGGCTGGAGCTGGCGTGCGTCGGCATGAAAGGCACCTTTTGTTGGGGCAACACGATGCAACTTTTGCGTCCCACACACGCACCTGCACGCATGACAGGTCCTGCTGCATAGCCACAACAATCTCCTCATAATCCCGCCGCGCCCGCAGCAGGTCGTCCTGGGGACAATGGTGGAAGGGAACACAGGGGTGCGTCAGGGCCAGAGAGGGCGCCTGAGTGCGCCGGGCTCGCCACCCTCGCAGCGGTCACCCCACGCGAGGGAGCTGAGCAGGCCCCTTTGCTCAGTCACGGTACGAGGACGCGTACGGTTAGGAGTACAACCGGCCCGCGCAAGGGTCACTCACGTTGGCGCGCGCAGCGTCGGCCTCGGAAGCGGCGAGCCGGTTCTTGAGCTCGTTGGTCTATTCATGGAAGAGAGCGGGCACAGGGAGGGCGGCGAGGTTGCACGATCAGCAGGGAAGGCGGTGGTTGCTGAACGTCAGGGTCTCCCGGTTTAGGAACCAGCCGTGCTGCAACGGTTGTGAACCTAGAGGAGAGGGTCCCTGCTGCGTTGCGGGCGCATGCACAGTCAAAGCGCACCAGGGCTTTTGAGTGGACCCAGGTGCGCAAGGGCGATGAGGGGGAGAGCCTGGACAACGCGCAATCGCGCCAGCACGCAATGTGTCCATTACAATCGCTCACCGCGGCTGCGTGGCTGCGCTGCAGCGCCGCCTCCTGTGCGGCCTTCTCCTTGAGCGAGCTCCTTGTCTCCGCCAGGGCCTCCTGTGAAGGAGAAAGGGGGTGCATCAGCAGAGGAGGGGCGCAACTGTGTTGAGTCAAGGGGTGTCGGCCTGCTGAGCTGGCGTCAAGCTCGCGTCAAGCTCCCATCAACCCGAGGTGATGAATCAAGGCGGGAAAGTCACCCGCGCACCTGGCTCTGCTGGTAAGCGCCGCGCAGCGTCTCCAGCAGCTCGTCGCGCGCCTCGTCGCGCTCCCGCTCAGCCACCGTGTGGCTGGCCTGGTATGAACGAAGGGATCAAAGGGGGTTGCAGTCTTGGTGATAAGGAGGTTGCGTGTCCGCTGGGCGCAGCAGATTTATCCGAGGGCGGGGGGTTGTGTGTCATGGCAAAGTAGCCACGCACCTGGCTGGCCTGCAGGCTGTGCAGCTGCACCACTTCCTGCGACGCGTCCAGCTCCGGCTGCGCCACGTCGTTCTTGGCCTATCAGGTTTGCGGGAGAGGGGCAGCAGGCGGTACTGCAGAGGAGGTGTGCAAAGTGTATGGCACGTCTGTGACAATCAGGGTCAGGGTTGGACCTTCATGACTGGGTGAACAAGATCCCGTCTCAGGGGTTGCACGGGATCGGCCCTTCATGTGAGCATGAGCTGCCTTGAGGAGCGCGATCCCGCCTTCCCATATCAAGTCGGAACTGAGGGCTAGCCCTGACGCGGCGGCAGACGTATGCATCAGGTTCGCACCCTCAGGCTGGCCACCACGTTCTGCTGCAGTGCATTGCACGGGTGCGCGGGTTGGCGGAGGTCACTGCGTGCACTCATCTGGCCGAAGCAGTCGTTCAAGCGCGACATCCAAAGTTTTGTCCCTCAAAACTATGCCACCATTCCCCCTTCTATTTTGCCTCACCTCTGCAGTGAGCCTCCGCGCTCCGATCTAGACATGACGTGTGAATTGCAAGGGGCACAAGGGTTGGCCCTCGCTCAACAGCGGTGCGCGAAATGGAGGGAGCTGCGGCTTGGCACGGGTGATCTCCAACAATTTCAAGGCGTCCTTTCAAATCAAAGCATTCCATCTCTCTGTACCAGCAGGCCGTCCACTCAGCAACACGCATCGATGGCCCATGCTGCTGAGCACACGCAAGGTCCACCGACGAGACGCAGCACGCATACCTCCAAGCGCTTGTTCCACAACGTCGTCCGCGCAGCGTTATTCTTGGCTGCTTGCTTGGACGCATTGAGGATCTCAACCTGCAGGGGCCGAGGAGGGATGGTCAATGGCACACGTCTGCCACAGGCGCAGCACGCGCTGTCATGCGTGCCTGTAAGGGATGCTGGGTGGCCCTGCACCCTCTCTCGCTCAGGTTTGCTGGCTGCGTTGTTCTCACCTGCTTCTGCAGGTAGTCATGTTTGCGCTGCACAGCAGGGGTGAGGTACAGCAGGCGGTGCCATGGGCCCGATGAAAGCGTGGAGCGTGCCGTGCACTACATGGCAGTGATTGCAAAACCGCACTCCTGCTCTCCGGTGGCTGTCGCAAGGACTGTCTCTGCTGCCGTTCATGCACTAACCTGCATCGTGAACTTGCACGTCAGGGCAGCACGATCAGCAAAACCAGTGTGCTGCGCTCGTCGTACTCACCGTGGCCCGGACGCTCTCCACATCCGACGTCTTCTCGATCTTATCAGTTGCCTGATAATGAATTTTCATGGACGATCAGGGGCGTGTTTGGCTGCGGCATACGGTAGCACACACACAGTCAACGTCCGACTCACCGCCTGAGACACGCCACGAACCCAAGGCCAGCCGAACGCTGCAGTCCAAGGACGTGGACGGCGAGACGCCATGTTCCTGTGAGGCGCGTGCGCCGCAGACTCCACCAGTGGCAAAGTATGACTGTGGCCACACCGTTCGCGGGCGAACTGTAGTATCTATGCGGTACTAAGCAATAAACCAAAGCATGCGATTCTCAACAATGCGGCTTTGGATTTGGAAGCTCGCGTTTCGACACTTTGAAGTCAGGCAGGCCCGTGATTTACGGTCAAATGATGCATGTCAGCTGGTCGAACATGGCATCAAGATGATCCTAGAATGTAACACACTGTCATGGCAGCACCAGCATGTGTGCCGCAGTTGTGGTCAACACACGTGCTTTTTGACCAATCAGTCATGTCGCAAACTTGCATGGTACGGTAACAGCCCACCCATGCCCTGTTCGATGCGAGCTTCGTTCTTGTCATTGCAGATCGCATAGCCAGTCGGAGTGCAGAGGCAGCACCCGGCACCACGTGGCTCCATCAGGGCGTGGAGTGTGTTGTGTGTGCAACACAATATGGCAGAGCATGTCAAGTTGCCGCCGCGCTCTCCTCCAACGGGCTAGGCCACAGCCGCAACATAGCACTATGGTTGGGTGGTGACCACATGCATATTGCAAATCCAGGAGCGGCGGTTAGGTGGACAGAAGGGAAGTGATATACCGTATGAAGCGATCCTTACTTTTCGGCATCCCAGTTTCAGACTTGCTCTTAACTGCCTTGATTTGCCCTGCCAACCTGCGTAGCCTCCGGAACGGAAGTGTTGCGGGTGCTGCAGACCTCAGCCCGGCCTCACAAGCCTCAGTGCTGCAGCGGAATGATGCCGCTGGGAAATGGCCAGGCTGCTCGCCATCGCTCTGCTGCAGCTCGGCAGCGCCAACGGGCCGCTTGATCGCCGCTACGCACACCCAACGCTGCTGCTTGGCGGCCAGCGACAGCTAGCCGCTTCATCACCACCAAAAACACACGCCACCCGCTGCGCCCACGCAACGACGTGGTGCTCGGCGTGCCTGCCGCACACCGCTGCTGCTGCTGTCGGTGTGCTGATGACTGGCCGCGCCACGCGGGCCGCCGTCTGTGCTGCGCCCTGCGGCTCTCTCGGGGGTGGTGGGTGCTTGTGTGGGTAGCGGGTGGGCACCTAAGCACACCGCAGCATGAAAGCGCTGCAAGCAAGACTTGAAGGTGTATGTGCTGCACGTGGCGTAACCTGCAGCAAGAGGGCAGAGGGTTACTGCTCCTCTGACATCAGCCACCTGAGAAGGTGACTCACGTAAACTCGGAGTTTACGCGGCTCCCGCAGGACTCACTCTCCTGTCTGGTACTCAGCCCCTGGATTAACCCACGGATTGTGCAGTGCCTATCTAGCCCTCTAGTCCGGAAGTGCTGCTGGTGCAGCAGAGCCCAGCCCGGCCTCACAACCCTCGGTGCCACGGCTGTGTTGTGCCGCTGGAAAACAGGTTGGCTGACCATCCTCGCTCTGCTGCAACTCGGCAGCTCAAATCGGCCGCTTCCGTGCCGCCACACGAATGCAACCTGCTCACAACAGGCTGCTGAACATTCTTGCCACTCACTGCTGCTGCTGCCGCGGTGCGATAGATGGCGGCCCGCACCCTGCATGCCACCGTCTGCGCCGCGTCCTGCGGCGTTCTTGGGGTGGGTGGGTGCTTAGATGGGTGGCGGTCGGGCACTTAAGCACGCCGCAGCACAGCGGCGCTGCAAACAAAGCATAAAGTGAAGTGACACGGTGCACTGCAGCAGCTGGCCAGGCAGTTGCTTCACAAAGGTCCATCCCAAGGGCAAACCTTTGAGTTGACGTAGCGCGTGGCATGAAACAGAGGTACCGTACAGTACATCACTTTTCCTTGCTTGCAGGTACAACCTTCCGTGCTCCGTCAGGGGCAGTTTTTTGCGACTGCTGTATTACAGGAGGTGCCCATTGGGTCATATTGGGGACCTTCAGGATGATGTTTTCCCTCAAATATGACATTGAGTTCGAGAAGAGTTGCAGGTGCGGGCCACCGAGGCCTCTTTTTAGCGGTTGCCCCTCGCAACGCAGCTATCTCATGTCATATTGAAGCTGTGTTTGAGTCTTACACATATTGTCATACACGCAGGGTTGTCATGGACCAGGACTGCAGTTGCTCTGACGCAGAAAGCGATGCGGCGTGTGCGCCGTGCCGTGCGACAGCACCGAGTGGTGCAACCATGGGCCCTGTGACTTGCAGCAGGTGGGATGTTGAGGGTGCGGGGATTGCGCTAGTCACGTTGAAATATTGGCAGCGCCTCTCCCTACACGCAGTGCAGTGTGCGGCGGCAGGAGGAGGGGAAGCTGCGCCTGACGAACACGCAACGCACCTCCCAAAACCAAACCAGGGTTGTCACCAAGCCGTCGCCGTCCATCGAGACGTGTGCAATCAGACAAGTCAGCGCCAGACCGGTAACCAGTGATGCTGGTTCCAGCACTGTGCCATTCATCAGGATGCCCAGCAAGCTGCGGGGCATCGCCACAGTATCACGCGTGACATCCGTCGCCTCCCCTGTCACCAATCGCCCCAGCAGCACCAGCTCTTCCTGCCCAAGCAGCGCGTGGGGAAGCGGCGTGCAGGGCACATCTGCTGCAGACACGCCCGTGCCAGAGAGCCCCAGCAGCGACGTGCCCGACGCAAGCAGTGCTGAGCTATTGTCATCACCGTCGTCGTCCATCACCAAGCCGACCTACCTCGACCTGAGCACCCACTTCTATCTACACAACGCGGCGGACATATTCAACAGCGGCACGTTCCTGGGCGGCGGCGGTCAGGGCGAGGTGCGGCGCGTCGAGCTGCTTGGCCACCAGTACGCCTTGAGGCGCGCAACGAGGTACGAAATCTCCAACGAGCGCCGAACCGAGTCCATACAGGGCCCATGGGCTCAAAAGCACATCCTCTACGACTATGGTGACGAAGCCGACGCGCTGTACTCACTCTACGAGCTGGCAGCCGGCGACCTGCACCAAGCGCTTGACGGCCACTCGATCGCCGCTGTGAGTGGCAGCAGTCACGGCGGCTGCGGCCAGACTGCGATGCTGTCTGCAGTGAGCCAGCCACTCCCACAGCCAGCGGCGTGCCAGCCGGCCCCGCAGCCAGCGCCATGCCAGCCACCCCCACAGCCGGCGGCACCCCAGAAGAGCCAGGAAGGCCCGACCAAGCCAGCGCCCTTCAAGAAGCTGCTACGCTCGCTCTTCAAGCCCGCCAACAAGAAGCCGCCGCCAGTACAGCCGGCGTCCCCCCTCATGCCAACCGCCACCGCCAAGGCCCTCGCCGCCGAGCTCATCACCGCCGTCGGCACCGTGCACGACGCCGGCGTCGCGCATTTCGACATCAAGCCAGGCAACGTGCTGGTGGCAGCCGACAACCATCTGACGCTCTGCGACTTTGGCTGCGCGCTGCCAGCCTCAATGCCAGCCATGTGCGCCGGCGGCACGCCGCTCTTCATGGCGCCAGAGCAGCACGTCGACATCGACAGCTTCTTGGGCCGCCTCAGTATACTGCTGCGTAGCTCGCTGCACCATCTCGCCACCTGGTGCGGCCTCAAGCATGACAGCCGCCCCGCCGACGTGTGGGCGCTGGGCGCCACCTTGGTCACGATGCTCCTGCCACCCGCCGAGGCCGACGCGGCGCTGGCGGCGGCGCGCGCCGGCAAGAAGTGGGTCCCCGCCCCCGGCTCTGTCGGCGCTGCGCTGCCGGCTGACCTGCGGGACCTGCTGTTCCGCGGCATGCTGGCGCGGCGCCCCGGCCGGCGGCTGACCGTGCGGCAGCTCAAGGGCCACGCCTTCTTCGCCGGCGTGGACTGGGCGGCCGTCGAGGCGCGGACTGTGCCGCTGCCCGTCGACCTCGTGGCGCTGGCGAAGATCGGCCGCGAGGCCGAAGAAGCTGACGCCGCCGCCGCCGCCGCCGCCTCCACCGCCGCTGCCGGCGCTGGCGTGGACCCTGTGACTTGATGCAGCACGCACAGTTTCTGTCTATCAACCGCCATGCCTACATCCCATCGACCCCTCTATTGTCGCAAGCCTGTCCTCCAAGGCCCCAGAATGACGCAAGATCCGACACCAAACGGCGTCCCAGCAGCTGCCGCAAGCGCCGCCAAACAGTCGCCTCCAGCAAACCGCCTACCCAAGAGACCCCAAGCCCTGCAACCACAACGATTGCGATCACAGCTCGCATCTCAAACGCCATGACGCGCTTGCCCCTGCAGCGCCTCAAGACCGACGCTCCGTAGCACAGCAGGTTGGCCCGCCCATACGCTTACGCCAACCCTTCATCGCAGCGCGCGATGAGCTTGTGTTGAATGATCCCCGCCAGGCGCTCCCTAGCACAGCAGGTTGGCCCGCCCATACGCTTACGCCAAACCTTTCATCGCAGCGCGCGATGAGCTTGTGTTGACCGATCCCCGCCAGGCGCTCCCTAGCGCAGCAGGTTGGCCCGCCCATACGCTTACGCCAACCCTTCATCGCAGCGCGCGATGAGCTTGTGTTGAATGATCCCCGCCAGGCACTCCCTAGCACAGCAGGTTGGCCCGCCCATACGCTTACGCCAAACCTTTCATCGCAGCGCGTGATGAGCTTGTGTTCACCGATCCCCGCCAGGCCGGGGGTTAGAACAGACGCCCCTGTCCAGATGGCCGCTGGCCTGGTCTGGCAGGGGCGCACATCACCAACTCATTGCGCCGCGAAACTCATCGCGCCGTGGTGGCTGCGGTGATGCCTGTGCATGGGCACCCTCTGAACAAACATATGAGCATCTTTGCCCATCAAATGCAGCGGTTTGCGCCCTTTGTTTTGGCGCATCCCGCGCGTCAGTATGTGCGCTGCCTCAGTGCACCGCACAGTTTCCAGATGTTGCTTTTGGCGGCCCTGGTCGCGCGCAGCTTCTCGCGGTGGTGCACACAGCGGTTGTGGCTTCCTTTCCAGAGAGTCGGTCATGCATTCCTGGCATTGGCAGTCAGCACATGCACTTGTCTTGAAACAACACGCGTTGACCGTGGCCACGGCTGCCGGTCCCCTCATGAATAGGCCGACGCTTGAGCCCAGTTTTTCAGAACTCACGCGATTCCCTTTTGAGAAATCAGGCGTCTTTCTGTCCTGCCTGCAGAGCTTCCTTGGTGTCCCAAGATTTGCGCTAGCAGCTTCAGTTTCCCATTCCCTTCAGTCCTCCTCTAGCTTAGCCTTGAATTGCACTGAGGTGCGCTGTTTGGTGATTTTTGTTCTTCGGGCTGCTGATGTAATGTGCCGAATAACATCCTTCTCAGCAGCGTCTGGCAGCCGTGGCAGTTGCAGGTCAGCATCTTAGCTCCCTGCCTGTACGTCCGCCCAGATGAGAGGGGACCATGCGCGGTGCACAGGCTGTGAGGAAAACGCCCATGCATGGCCCGAGCATACTATAGCAAGTTGCGTGGACCTGGGATGTTGTGAGGTGTCAACCAGGGGGTGGACGATGTGACACCGCGGGCTCATGCGCATTTACAACAGGTTTCAATGTACACGCCACGATGCCAGCCGGGCAGGCGGCCGCACAGAGGGAGAGGGTGGCCCATGCGGATGGCTCCACACAACCCCCGGCGACCGCGCCACGCCGAACAGGCAGGGCGAGGGGTGGGGAGCGGGCAGTGCGGATCTCGACTGCTACGCAAAACAAAACGGGCGGGGGGGCCACAAGAAGCACAAAGGCGGGGCGATCGCAGTTGAGGGGCGGTGGCCCACACAAACCGCAGAGGCCGGGCCCCCAGCAATGCTCAGCTGATGGTCTAAGGGGCGGAAGAGGCGACAGAGGCACACGGCATAAAACGTATCCTTCGCTCTTCAAATGCGCGACACGGCAGGCCCCAAGTGAGATGCAGGGGGCAGGGGAGAAGGGGGGAAGGGGGCGAGAGCAACAAAATTCATTACAGCGAAGTGAGACCAATGCTGGCCGCGCACGCGCGACGGCCTTCCGAACACATGGTAGGCGACCGTGAGCAGCGCAGCGGCGCACAGTTTTGATGCAGGCTTGCGCACACATGGCGCGCCTCTGGCAAGGCTGGCGTGGCTGCCAGCGACACACCCAGCAGAGGGGGAGCGGTCCCCCTCCCTACTTGCTAAAACCAAGACTGGCTGCCACGACACCCGCGGCTCGCTACCAAAACATAGCGAGGCAGTCACGCGCTGCTAGCGCTGTCACCGCCAGCACCGGTGACGGCACCAGCGCTGGCAGTGCCAGAAGCGACGACAAACAATGGCTGATACAGGGGCGTCCAACTGGCGCCGCCGCGGGCCACCCGCCCCCACCACGGGGCCGGGGCGGCGGCCGGCGGCGGCGATGCTGTTTTGCAGTGTTCTTGGCCCTCTGGGTGGCTCGGGGCCGGCCCCATGCACCCAGTTGTACCTAGGCCCGAGCAGCGGCCCGTGCCCCTCGCAACCCCTCCTAGACGCACAACCCCGGCGCAGCCGCCTTGACGCATCCCGCTTGTTGCTCCACATGAATGGCGGCCTCCCCATGCGCACGTGCGGGCCGCCTACTGCAGCGGCTTGGTGGCGACGAACAGGCCCCAACGCTGCTCGCCCGCGCGCGCCCGGGCCAGCTTGTCGTTCCAGCCGTCCACGACGGCCGAGTAGCCGGGCTCCCCGAAGCGCTCGACAAACGCGGCCTTGTCGGCCTCGACACGCGAGAGCTCAGAGTCCAGGCAGTCGATGAACTGCGCGCATGTGTGTGTGTGTGTGTGTGTGTTGTGCGAAAGTGCCGTGTGTACGTGCGTGTGTGTAGGAAAAGGGAGGAGTGCGGGCGACAACGATGAGGCCAGGGCGAGCCGGTGTTGAGGGCGTCTTGATTGATTGGGAAATGAAACTTGATTGGAACGCTCGGATGCAAGGCCGGCTGCAGCGATGAGCAGGGTGCGTCCCGCTCGCCCCCGAGCCCCTTGCTCTCCCGTGCCACACTCACGTCTCCACCCTTCTTCACAGGTGCGACCCAGCAACCTCCCCTTCCCTGTGAACGCGCCGTTTACTCCCCCCCAAAAGACAAACAAAGCGTCAAACCTCGCAACATCCCCAACCATCCTGATCCGTAAACAATCCTCTCCCCATGCAAGCACCATCACAGGTGGCGGGATCACGAGTGCCCCGCACCTGCTCTGTCCTGTCCTCTGCTACCACGTCCACAAAGCCGGCCTCCTCCAGCAGGCGGCCGTACGCCTTGATGGGCCGCAGGTCGTAGCCGCGCTGGGCGATGTAGGCCGCAAATGCGGGCGTCGGCTCGGAGTCGGAGCTGCGAGGGTTGTGCAGGCGCTTGAAGGGTGAGCGACGTGCGTCTCATGTGTGCGTGTGATTGGCTGTGTGTGTGTGACTGCGATTTTGTGGTTGTGTGTGTGTGTGTGTGTGTGTGTAATGTGCATGCACAATGAATTTGACCTTGTCTATTGTGTTGTGGGAGCTCACTGGTCAGCAGATGCCAAGTTGTGGCACAATTGACGGTACCCATTCGAGCGGCCGCTCCGCGTGCACTCCACCACAATTGGCAACATGCGCGCCGTACCCACCGCGCATAGTCCGTGATGAGGAGCTTGCCCCCGGGCTTGAGCCAGCTCATGATGCGCTGGAACATGACATCCTTCTCGTGGATCTTTTAGGGG